CGGCTCTTGGGTTTGCTCCTTCCATTGCTGACCCGTCGCTGTTTCTGCGCACTGACACTTTGCTGTCGCCGCTCTACATCCTCGTGTACGTTGACGACTTGGTCTTTGCTACTGCTGACACTGAGAGACTCGCCCATGTGAAGTCGGAGCTGTAGAAGAGACATACGTGCACAGACCTGGGTGAGCTGCGCAACTATCTTGGCTTGCAGATCACCCATGACACAGCACAACGCACCATTACCCTGACTCAGTCACACATGGTGCAGCAGGTCCTTCAGCGCTTTGACTTCACGTACTCCTCGCCTCAGGTCACTCCTCTGTCTACTCGCCACTCGCTCTCTGCTCTGCCTTCGGATGAGTCCGTAGAGCCGAGTGGCCCATACCCAGAGCTTGTTGGCTGCCTCATGTACCTGATGACCTGCACTCAATCTGACCTGGCATACCCTCTTAGCATCTTGGCACGCTATGTTGCTCCTGGGAGACACCGACCAGAGCACATGGCTGCAGCTAAGAGGGTGTTGCGCTACCTGTGTAGTACGTTGGGCATGGGGCTCGTGCTTGGAGGACAGGCTCAAGTTGTCCTCACTGGTCACGCAAACGCTTCTTGGGTTAACGACTTGGCTGCGCAGCGCTCGTCACAGGGTTACACCTTCAGCCTTGGTTCTGGCTCTGTTTCGTGGCGGTCTACCTACTCGTCTTCTGTTCCGAGCTCCAATTGTGAGGCTGAGATCTTCGCTGGGGCCATGGCTGCACAGGAGTTACGCTGACTTGGGAGAGGCGCCTCGTTCTCCTCCAAATCTGTACGTCGACAACAAGGCTATGCTGGCCTTGTGTAAGGAGCACAGATTGGAGCATAGAACGAAGCACATTGCTCTGCGCTACTTCCTTGCTCGAGAGTTGCAGCAGCGTGGTCAGCTTCGTCTTGCTTACGTGGCCTCTCGGGCCAACACTGCTGATATCTTTACCAAGGCTCTTCAGCCTTGTGATCATCAGCGTTTCTGTACTATGCTAGGTCTTGTGCCTACCGGGCCTCACTTGCTTACCTCTTGACTTTGTTTGTACTGTGATCTATATATACCTGCACCTGCATGCTTACCCTTGCTAGGTTGAGATCATTGTCTTGCTTGTTCACCTTGCTTTATAATCCTGCATGTGAACTGGCCTTGTGGCCTTGAACTGGTGCTCAGAATGTGTGGTGACGTTGTGATCCACCATGAGCTTGACCTTGCCTTGTTCTCTTGCTTGTCCCCCACTTTGCCTATGGGGGTGTGTCAGAACTATATTGTAGGCTGCAGTGGGGTAGACAATATGGGGTACAACTTATTTAGGTTTTCATACTTGTACCCACTTGCTTGCTAGTTCATTCATTCCTCGTTCTTTTTCTCACCAAAACGGCAGAAATCGTTGGCGCCGAGCTTTTCTTCCCACAAGAACCAAGCCAGAAAGGCTCTAGTAAGTGTATCTAAACATGGGCCATCGAATATGCAATAAAATTCAGGTTGTTGAGTGCTTTTTCCTACGCCTATAGGGATTCACGCGCTTTCTAGGCACTTGGCGGAAGAAACGGCCAAAATCGTAGTCGCCGAACTTTACTACGCGCAAGAACCAAGCCAAAAAGGCTCTTGCAGGTGTATTCAAACACGGGCCACTCGAATATGCAATAAAATTTAGGTTGTTGAGTGCTTTTCCCTACGCCTATAGGGATTCTCGCGCATTCTAGGCACTTGGCGGAAATCATAGGCGCCGAACTTTTCTTCGCGCAAGAACCAGGTCAAAAAGGCTCTAGTAGGTGTATTTGGACATGGGCCACTCGAATATGCAAACAAATTCAGGTTGTTGAGTGCTTTTCGCTAAGCGTATAGGGATTCACGCGCTTTCAAGGCACTTGGCGGAAGAAACGGCCGAAATCATAGGCGCCGAACTTTTCTTCGCACACGAACCATGCCAAAAAGGCTCTAGTAAATGTATTTGAACATGGGTCACTAAAATGTGCAATACATTCAGGTTGTTGAGTGCTTTTCCCTACGCCTATAGGGATTCACGCGCTTTCTAGGCGCTTGGTGGAAGAAACGGCCGAAATCGTAGGCGCCGAACTTTTCTTCACGCAAGAACCAGGCCGAAACGGCTCTAGTAGGTGTATTTGAACATGGGCCATTCAAATATGCTATAAAATTAAGGTTTTTAAGTGCTTTTGCCAACGCCTAGGGATTCATGCCCTTTCTAGGCACTTGGCGGCAAAAACGGCCGAAATCGTAGGCGCCGGACTTTACTTCACGCACGAACCAAGCCGAAAAGGCTCTGGTAGGTGTATTAAAAAAAGGGCCACTCTAATATGCAATAAAATTCAGGTTGTTGAGTGCTTTTCTCTACGCCTATAGGGATTTACGCGCTTTCAAGGCACTTGGCGGAAGAAACGAACGAAATCATAGGCGCCGAACTTTTCTTCGCGCAAGAACCAGGCCAAAAAGGCTCTATTAGGCGTATTTGAACATGGTGTTGAAATGTATTTGTATACTTTCATATAAATGCCTACAGTAGCCTAGTGTAGTTATCTTAGTTTCCTGCTAGGTGGTGTACCATTTGCCTTTCTTCATTCTTGCCTATTTGTACCCTTGAACCTATAGTGAAACCCCCATTCTATCGATACTTTTCACTTCAACTCAACCTGCTCGATACTCAAACTCTAGTTCTAACTAGCTATGGCTCCTTAGCCTAGCTTAAGTTCTGACATGTTATCAGAGCGTGTTTCGCTCCTGGACTCCTGCTTCCGCTGCTACTGAGTGTACTGCACGCCCCGTGGTGTGCCCTACTGTCGCGGCCCCGCCGCCCTTCTTAAGCGGCCCCGCCGCCCTACTGTCGCGGCCTCGCCGCCTCTCGGCTGTCGCGGCCCCGCCGCCCTACTGTCGCGGCCCCGCCGCCCTCCTGTCGCGGCCTCGCCGCCCTGCTTTAGCGGCCTCGCCGCCCGTACCAGCCCGTCGCCGCCCTTTGCGGCGTCACGTGCCGCCCGTACGACGCGCCGCCGTCCGCTGCGGTCCCGTCACCGCCCGTACCGGCCCGTCGCCGCCCGTCCCGGCCCGTCGCCGCCCGTGCGGTACCCGCCCCAGGCCCCGATGCCACCTGCGGCCCCGACCCCGCCCCGGCCATGCCCTGTCGCCAGCCGCGGCACACCAGGGGCACGTGCACCGCCCCCCCCCCCCCCCCCCCCCTTTTCCCGTCACCCGAGGGGCGACCTGAAAGGGGGGGGGAGTCGTCGCCCCCTCTGCCGCTTGCTTTGGCGCCCGGGGAGGCCGTGCGTCGGCCCCCCCCCCCCCCTCCCCCCCCCCTTTCTCCTCCTCCTTTTGTTCCCTCTGCTGCAACTGCCGCTGGGGGGGAGGGTGTGAGAGTGTGGGGAGCCCGGGGAGGGACTGGGGGTGGCGGGTGTGGGGGTGATGTGTGGTCCCCTGGCCCTACGGCCCCATCCTCCTCCGTTTGCCCCCCCTCTGCTGCTCCTGCAGCAGTGTGGGGGGGAGGGGGAGGGGGAGGGGGAGGGGGAGGGGGAGGGTGAGGGGATGGTGTCGGTGACCAAGCGTGGGCGTTTTACACTTCCAGCTACTACTGCTCTTGCTTGTTTCTGTTTCTTCCATTGCACCTTGTACCCCTGCTTAAGTTCTGACACATGGGCCACTCGAATATGCAAACAAATTCAGGTTGTTGAGTGCTTTTCGCTACGCCTATAGGAATTCACGCGCTTTCTAGGCGCTTTGTCAGAACATTATAGCTTATGCTGTTGTGTAGGCTATAGTGGGGTATCCCATAGGGGGTACAACCAATTAGGGTTTCATATTTGTACTCACTTCATTTCGTAGTTCATCATCCTCGTTCTAATCTTCTCATGGTATCGAGCAGGTTCCCCCTTGGGAACTGTGCTTAGGGCCCACCACATCGAGTTTTTTTTTTTTTCCTGCCCGAAGCGCGCTCAGCCCGAGTCGCGCTCCGGGCCCTCACTTCGTCGAGCCGCCCTAGCGGCCCTTCACTGCGGCCCCGCCGCCTGTCTCAGCGGCATCGCCGCCCTTTTCTGCGGCCCCGCCGCCCTTCACTGCGGCCCCGCCACCCGTCGCTGCGGCCCCGCCGCCTCTCACTGCGGCCCCGCCGCCCGTCTCAGCGGCCCCGCCGCCCGTCTCCACGGCCCCGCCGCCTCTCTCGTTGCGGCCCTGCCGCCTCTCACTGCGGCCCCGCCACCCGTCTCAGCGGCCCCGCCGCCCGTCTTCGCGGCCGCGCCGCCTCTCTCGCTGCGGCCCCGCCGCCTCTCACTGCGGCCCCGCCGCTCGTCTCAGCGGCCCCGCCGCCTGTCTCCGCGGCCCCGCCGCCTCTCTCACTTCGGCCCCGCCACCCGTCTCTGCGGCCCCCCCGCCCGTCTCCGCGGCCCCGCTGCCTCTCTAGCTGCGGCCCCGCCGCCTCTCACTGCGGCCCCGCCGCCCGTCTCTGCGGCCCCGCCGCCTCACACTGCGGCCCTGCCGCCTCCCACAGCGGCCCCGCCACCTACCTTGCGGCCCCACCGCCCTACCAGCGGCCCTACGGCCCTACACCGCCCGCGCCACCCGAGCTGCCCGACCCGCCCGAGCCGCCCGAGCCGCCCGAGCTGCCCGACATGCCCGAGCCGCCCGAGCCGCTGAGGAGCCGAGCCGCCCTACCCGCCCGAGCTGCCCGAGCCGCTGAGGAGCCAAGCCGCCCGAAGGGCCCGAGCCGCCCGACCCGCCCGAGCCGCCCGAGCCGCCCGAGCCGCCTGAGCCGCTGAGGAGCCGAGCCGCCCTACCCGCCCGAGCTGCCCGAGCCGCCTGAGCCGCTGTGGAGCCGAGCCGCCCGAGCCGCCCGAACCGCAGTTGCTGCTGAGCCGTCCGAGCAGCCGTGTTGCCGTGTTGCTGTGCTGCTGAGCTGCCCGACCCGCCCTGTCTGGTGAGAGCAGCGCTCCTGTCACTGCACTGCCCCTGTCCTACAGTTCGTACTGCTAGGCTACTGTCGTCATGGCTACCCCTAGTGTCCTCGCTTTTGACGCTGAGGGTCGGGCCATTGACTTTGAGGTCTGGGTAGACGACCTGCAGCTGTTCTTACAGTGCGATAGGGCAGACGGCCTCTCTCTCTTTGACCTTACCTCTGGCGCTTCCTCTGCCCCTGCTGCTGATGCTGACGCCACTGTTCGCTCCCAGTGGGCCACGCGCGAGGGTGCTGCACGTCTTGCTGTGCGTCGCCACCTCCCTACCTCCGAGCGTGCGCACTTTAGTCAGTACAAGAGTGCTAAGACCTTGTACGACGCTGTAGTCGCGCGCTACTCATCCCCTGCCACTGCTGCACTGAGCCGTCTCATGCTACCGTACCTCTTCCCTGACCTTGCTGCCTTTCCCACCGTGGCTGACCTCATTACGCACCTCCGCACTAGTGACACTCGCTACCGCGTTGCACTCCCTGCTGAGTTCTGCGCCAAGAACCCCCCCCCCCATGTACATCACTCTGTACTTCCTAGTCACTCGCCTTCCTGACTCCCTTTGAGTAGTCAGAGACCACTTTCTCTTAGTCTGTCCCACCACACTCATTGTAGATCTCCTCGAGAAGGCCCTCTTAGCAGCGGAGAAGAGTATAGTCGCTGTAGGAGCCTCTCGAGGTGACCCGCGCACCCCCATATTTGAGGGGTGTTCCCCCTCCCCCCTGCTGCCCTCTGTTGCCTCTGCTGCTACGGCCCACCTCCTTGGTCTTGAGTCGGTCAGTGCGGCGTCTGCCCCTAGCGGGAGACGCCGCCCTGGCAAGAGCAAGGGGGGCAAGGGAGCTGGAGGAGCGGGCGGTGGAGGTGGAGGTGGAGGCGGTGGGGGTAGTGGGGGTGGCGGTGGGAGTGGAGGTGCGGGTGGGGGGGTCGGTGGCGGCAGTGGAGGCGGAGGCGGCGGCGGCGGTGGCGGTGGGAGCGGAGGTGGCGGAGGAGGCGGCGGTGGAGGCGGCGGTGGAGGCGGCGGTGGAGGCGGCGGCAGTAGCGGAGGCGGCGGAGGCGGTGGGGGTGGCGGTGGAGCTGGTCGCGGGCCTTCGCAGAGGAGTGGCTCCGGTAGTAGCGCGCGCCAGCAGCAGCAGCGCGGTCGTGAGACCCTGTCCCCTCAGCAGCTCCGTGAGTGGTACACTGCACGCCAGCGGGGTGGGGGTTTTGGTCCGTGCACCTACGTCCTGCGCACCGGCGACCGTGCGGGTGAGCAGTGTGGGGGCCCGCACCCCACCCAGCGCTGCTTTGGCCGCCTGACGGACGCGTGGCGTCACCAGTTCCCGGAGGCCTCAGAGATTCCTCGTTGGGGCGAGCTGTCTAGGGCGGGTGTTGCCATCTTTGATCTTGACTTTGATGCTATTCTCTCTGCCATGTATACTGTGTCTCATAGTGATGAGGGTGACTACTACCGCTGTTTCCCGCCCGATCCGGGCATTGAGGCTGCTGCCCTAGGTGCTTGCGACGCTGCTGCTCTAGGTGCTAGTGTGTCTGCGTCCTCAGGTACTGGTGAGTCTGCGCTCTCAGGTACTACGTCGGCTTCGGCCTCCCTCACCTTCACTCTTGACTCTGGGGCGTCTCGCTCCTTCTTTCGGGACCGCACCACACTCACGCCGCTTAGTCGGCCGGTTGCGGTGTCTCTGGCTGACCCCTCCGGGGGTCCTGTACTGTCTCGCTTCTCCACAGTCCTCCCGTGTCCGGCGGCTCCCTCTGGTACCCTGTCTGGTCTCTACCTCCCCTCGTTCTCGACGAACCTGGTGAGTGGTGCTGACCTACAGGATGGGGGAGTACACCAGTTCACTCCTGCGCGTCAGCGGGTGACGCACTGTACAGAGGCTAGCACAGGCCGGCACCTGGCTACGTTTACCCGTCAGCCGGGGTCGAGCCTGTACACACTGACCACTGCGTCTCCTCCCGTTACTGAGTCTGGTAGAGTCGCCTCGTCCGGTCAGGTGTTTGCTGTAGCGTCTAGGTCTGGTCCTGAGTCTGCCCCCTGTTCGTGTCGTCTCTTGTCTAATGAGACTCTCCTCTGGCACCACCGTCTTGGTCACCCCTCTCTGCTTCGGCTCAGAGGCATGGCCTCCTGTCTTCTTGTGTCTGGTCTCCCCCGGTCCCTCCCTCCCCTTCCTCAGGGCCCTGGCCCTGCGTGTGTCCCCTGTGTCGAGGGGCGCCAGCGGGCTGCCCCTCACTCCTCCCATTTTCCTCCGACAGAGGCCCCGTTGCAGACGCTTCACATGGACGTGTGGGGCCCGGCCCGCGTCCATGGACAGGGTCACGAGCGCTACTTCCTGCTCGTTGTTGACGACTACTCGCGTTACACCACGGTCTTCCCCTTGCGCAGCAAGGGTGATGTCACTGAGGTGCTGATCGACTAGATCCGCGCGGCTCGTCTCCAGCTCAGGCGGAGCTTTGGCTCGGACTTCCCTGTTCTGCGTCTGCACTCGGACAGAGGCGGAGAGTTCTCCTCTGGCCTAGTGCGAGCCTACTGTCGCGCACGAGGCATCCGTCAGACCTTCACGCTTCCGGACTCACCGCAGCAAAATGGGATTGCTGAGCGCCGCATTGGCATGGTCATGGACGTCGCTCGTACGTCTATGATGCATGCGGCTGCCCCCCATTTTCTGTGGCCCTTTGCGGTCAGGTACGCGGCGCATCAGATCAACCTCCACCCCAGGGTCTCCAGGCCGGAGACCTCCCCAGCCTTACTGTGGACGGGGAAGGTTGGCGATGCGTCGGCGTTCCGGGTCTGGGGATCTCGGGCGTTTGTCCGCGACTTGTCTGCGGACAAGCTGTCCCCTCGTGCTGCTCCTTGCGTCTTCGTGGGGTTCCCCCCTGACGCGCCTGGGTGGCAGTTCTACCACCCCACCTCTCGACGTGTTGTGTCCTCCCAGGACGTCACGTTTGACGAGTCGGTCCCCTACTGCCGCCTCTACCCCTACCGCACTCCGTCCCTCCCCCCACCCCCGCTCTTCCTTGTACCAGGTCCCCCCCAGGTAGACTCCCTCCCCCCTCAGGGTCCTGCCCCTTCAGGTGTGTCCCAGGTAGACGCAGTCGAGCCTGTCGAGGTCACTGGTTACTCTGGTGCTGCTGGGGGTGCTGAGCCTGGGGGTTCTGGACCTCGGGGTGCGGAGTCTGGGGGTGCTGAGCCTGGGGGTACTGCGTCTGGGGGTGCTGAGCCTGGGGGTGCTGAGCTTGGGGGTGCTACGCCTGGGGGTGCTGAGCCTGGAGGTGCTACTCTTGGGGGTGCTGAGAGTGGAGGTGCTCCGCCTGGAGGTTCTCCGAGTGCTTCTTCTCGCCGGGAGCCACTCTCTCCACAGGAGCTGCGCGAGTGGTTTGCCCGGCGCTGGCGCCGTACTGCTGGTGTGGGAGGTTCTTCGGCTGCTGAGGGTGCTGCGGTCGCGGGTCCCGGAGGTTCTCGTACTGGGAGTACTGGAGCTGCTGGGCCTACGGGTTCGACTAGAGCTGGTGCTGCTGAGGGTGTTGGCGCTGAGACTACCGCTGGCGGTCCTACTGGGGGTGCTCCTGGTGATGCTGGAGCGGGTGCTCCTGCTGAGGGTACTGGTGCTGTCCCTGCTGCTTCTGGCGTCGTCACGCGGCCTCGACCGTACTTTGTTCCACTCCTGCAGCAGGTTCTTGGTCTTCCACCTTTTACTGGTCCTCCTCCTCCCTTAGAGTGTCCACAGCCTGTCCCGTCACAGTCACAGCTACAGCCTGCCTCCCCTCTGCCTGCTCCTTCTCCCTACGCTGGTCCTACTGGAGGTCTTACTGAGCGTCGTGAGCCTGCGTCTCGTCCTGCGTCGCCTGTTAGAGCTGCTCGCGCTAGTGGTCGCGGTTCACGCCAGCGTCCTCCTCCTGTCCCTAGCACGCACCGGATGTCTCTGCGTCCGTCTACTGCTCCTCTGCGTGCCCCTTTGCCTTCCCCTCATGAGTCCTCTCTTCATGCACTTGCCAACCCTGAGTCGGACTCTCTTCGTGCTGCCAGTCCTACTGTCACGCGTCTCCTTGCTACTGTCGTCACTGACCCTTCTTTCGAGTCTACTGCTGCGTCTGCTCTCGTTACTGAGCTCGTCGACTTTGCTGCTCGCTGTCGCTTAGACTACGCTGCTAGTCTTGTCGCTGAGTCTCAGTCTGTCTGTCCTCCGTCCGTCGGGGGTGAGTGTGCCCTTGGCACGGACGTCCTTGAGGACAGGCAGGAGGAGTTCCAGTGTCTGGCAGCTGCTTCACCTCATCTCGTGTCCGTACTGCTTACCCCTGAGGGAGACCCGGATGCACTTGACATCCCGACTCCGCGCTCTTACGCGGAGGCGATAGAGGGTCCCTACTCCTCTCAGTGGCAGGCAGCTATGGATGCAAAGATGGCTTCCTGGAAGTCCACAGGCACCTACGTTGACGCTGTCCCCCCTCCTGGGGCGAACATCGTCAGTGGCATGTGGATCTTCAGGGTGAAGCGGCCGCCGGGTTCTCCGCCTGTCTTCAAGGCGCGTTACGTGGCTTGTGGCTTCAGTCGGCGGCAGGGAGTTGACTACTTTCAGACCTTCTCCCCCACCCCGAAGATGACCAATCTTCGGGTACTGCTGCACGTTGCTGCTCACCGTGACTACGAGCTGCACTCTCTTGACTTCAGCACAGCTTTCTTGCAGGGCAGCCTGCACGAGGAGATCTGGCTGCGTCGCCCACCTGGCTTCACTGGGTCTTTCCCTCCTGGTACCCAGTGGAGTCTCCGACGTCCAGTCTACGGTCTCCGCTAGGCACCACGTGAGTGGCACGACACACTGAGGACTACGCTTGCGGCTCTTGGGTTTGCTCCTTCTACTGCCGACCCGTCGCTGTTTCTGCGCACCGACACCTCTCTGCCGCCGTTCTACATCCTCGTGTACGTCGACGACTTGGTCTTTGCCACAGCTGACACTGCTGGACTCGCCTACGTGAAGTCCGAACTGCAGAAGAGACACACGTGCACAGACCTGGGTGAACTGCGCAGCTACCTTGGCTTGCAGATCACCCGGGACAGAGCACGCCGCACCATTACCCTGACTCAGTCACACATGGTGCAGCAGGTCCTTCAGCGCTTCGGCTTCACGTACTCCTCGCCTCAGGCCACTCCTCTGCCTACTCGCCACTCACTCTCAGCTCTGCCTTCGGATGAGTCCGTAGAGTCGAGTCGCCCGTATCCAGAGCTTGTTGGCTGTGTCATGTACCTGATGACCTGCACACGACCTGACCTTGCATACCCTCTTAGCATTCTTGCACGCTATGTTGCTCCTGGGAGACACCGACCAGAGCACATGGCTGCAGCGAAGAGGGTGTTGCGCTACTTGTGCAGTACGTCGGGCATGGGGCTAGTGCTTGGAGGGCGGAGTCCAGTGGTCCTCACTGGGCACGCGGACGCTTCTTGGGTTGAGGACCAGGCTACGCAGCGGTCGTCACAGGGTTACACCTTCAGCCTTGGTTCCGGCTCTGTTTCGTGGCGGGCTACTCGCTCGTCTTCTGTTCTTGGCTCCAGTTGTGAGGCTGAGATCTACGCCGGGGCCATGGCTGCACAGGAGCTTCGCTGGCTCACCTACCTGCTGACCGACCTTGGAGAGCCGCCTCGTTCTCCTCCAGTCTTTTACGTAGACAACAAGGCCATGCTGGCCTTGTGTGGAGAGCAGCGAATAGAGCACAGAACAAAGCACATTGCTCTTCGCTACTTCCTTGCTCGTGAGCTACAGCAGCGTGGACAGTTGCGGCTTGCGTACGTGGCCTCTGAGGCCAACACTGCTGATGTCTTCACCAAGGCACTTCCGCCTTGTGATCATCAGCGCTTCTGCACTCAGCTGGGTCTTGTGCCCGTCTTGTCTCACTTGCTCTCCTCTTGACCTTGCTTGTACTCTCACATATATATATACCTGCTCTTGCTTGCCTAGCTTTATATATATGTGTGTACTCTTGCATGTGAACTGTCCGTGTGGCCTTGACTTTGTGATCCACCCTGAGCTTGCTTTGCTTTGCTTTGCTTGACTGGTCTTGTGACCCCTTGTTCACCCCCACTTTGCCTATGGGGGTGTGTCAGAACATTATAGCTTATGCTGTTGTGTAGGCTATAGTGGGGTATCCCATAGGGGGTACAACCAATTAGGGTTTCATATTTGTACTCACTTCATTTCGTAGTTCATCATCCTCGTTCTAATCTTCTCACGCTTGTCGGAAAAAACGGCCGAAATCGTAGGCGCGGAACTTTTCTTTGCGCAAGTACCTGGCCGAAAAGGCTCTAGTAGGTGTATTTGAACATGGGCCACCCGAAGCTGCAATAAAATTCAGGATATTAAATGCTTTCCCCTACGCCTTTAGGGATTCACGTGCTTTCTTGGCACTTGTCGGCGAAAACGGCCGAAATCGTAGGCGCTGAACTTTTCTCCGCGCAAGATCCAGGCCGAAAATGCTCTAGTAGGTGTATTTGAATATGGACCACTCGAATATGCAATAGAATTCAGGTTGTTGAATGCTTTTCCCTACGCCTATAGGGATTCACACACTTTCTAGGCACTTGGAGGAAGAAACGGCCAAAATTGTAGGCGCCCAGCTTTTTTTCGCGCAAGAACTAGGCCGGAAAGGCTCTAGTAGATGTATTTGAACACGGGCCACTCGAATATGCAATAAAATCCAGGTTGTTGAGTGCGTTTCCCTACGCCTATAGGGATGCACGCGCTTTCTAGGCGCTTGTCGGAAAAAACGGCTGAAATCGTAGGCGCAGAACTTTTCTTCACGCAAGAACAGGCCGAAAAGGCTCTAGTAGGAGTATTTGAACATGGGCCACTCGAATCTGCAAAAATATTCAGGTTGTTTATTGCGTTTCCCAGCGTCTATAGGGATTCACGCGCTTTCTAGGCGCTTGGCGGAAGAAACGGCCGAAATCGTAGGCGCCGAACTTACTTTGTCAGAATCAAGAAGTGTTGGACTAGAAACAAGTTGGGAGTACAAGAATGAAACCCTAGAGAAATGTACCCTCTAAAGGCGAACCCACTGTAGCCTACAAAACTGAAACATATGCAATGTTTGACACACCCCCATAGGCTAAGTGGGGGAGAACAAGAGGTCACAAGACCAGTCAAGAAAGACAAAGCAAGCTCAGGGTGGATCACAATGTCACCACACACTCCGAGCACAAGTAAGAGGCCACAAGGCCAGTTCACATGCAGAGCCATATATGTAACACAAGCATCACACTGCTCTATACCTAGCAAAGCAAGCATGCAGGTATATATATATAGATCACAGTACAGGCAGAGTCTACAACAAGTGAGGAAAAGTGGGCACAAGCCCTAGTAAAGTGCAGAAACGCTGATGATCACCAGACTGGAGCGCCTTGGTGAATATATCAGCGGTGCTGGCTTGAGTGGACACGTAACGCAGACGAAGCTGACCACGCTGCTGCAACTCTCGAGCCAGGAAGTAATGTAGAGCGATGTGCTTCGTTCTGTGCTCCAGTCTGTGCTCCTCACACAAGGCAATGGCAGCCTTGTTGTCGACATACAGCACTGGAGGAGAATGAGGCCGCTCTCCAAGGTCTGTCAGCAGGTAGGTGAGCCAGCGTAACTCCTGTGCAGCCATGGCTGTGGCGTAGATCTCAGCCTCAAAACTGGAGCTGAGAACTGAAGACAAACGCGTAGAATGCCACGAAACTGAGCCAGAGCCAAGGCTGATGGTGTAACCCTGTGACGACCGCTGAGTAGCCTGGTCGTCAACCCAAGAAGCGTCTGAGTGCCCAGTGAGAACAACTGAGCTCCTCCCTCCAAGCACGAGCCCCATGCCCGATGTACTGCACAAGTAGCGCAATACCCTCTTTGCAGCATCCCAGTGCACCTTTTGGTGCCTACCAGGAGCCAGGTAGCGAGCCAGAAGGCCAAGAGGGTACGCTAGGTCAGGACGAGTGCAAGTCATCAGGTACATGAGGCAGCCAACTAGCTCTGGGTAAGGACCACTCGGCTCTACGGACTCATCCGAAGGCAGAGCTGAGAGCGAGTGACCTGTAGCCAGAGGAGTGGCCTGTGCTGAGGACCAGGTGA